TTCGAGACCTGGAACGGGATTTTGAACCAGACTTTCTGGATCTCGACCTCGACCTCGACCTGGAGCGGGACCTCCTGGACCTCGACCTAGAACGTGAACGGGAACTCCTGGACCTTGACCTGCTCCGAGACCTCGACCTGGAGTCATCACGCTCGTTGTCACTTCCTCTCTTGTACCAGGTCGTTACAGGCTTGTTAACTTCCAGTGGTTTGGCCCCATCTCTCTCCTGACCATACTTGCTCCAGGAACCCCTAAAGGACCTACCTCTATCCCGGAATCCCCTGCCTCGGTCCCTGAACCCACGGCCTCTCCACGGGCCTCTAGGGAACCGCCACCTGCCTCTTCCACGGCCCCTACCACGTTCAAAGCCTTCATCTTGGCCCCAAGATGGCTGGCCCTCAGAGTCACCATAGCCCTCATAGTAAGAGTAGTAGTGGTGCTGGGAGCCCTGCGAATGGTGCCAGGCCCCATACTCATCATATTGCTCCTCGTCATCCACATGATCCATTCGAAGACGACCTGCAAACAGAAAATGCATTGCTCTCAGAATCAAAACAATCTGGCTTATAAGCAAATTAAGAAGTGAACTATAACAGAGGAGAATGGAGAGGGAGAGGGAGAGGGAGGGAGGGAGAGAGGGAGAGAGGGAGAGAGGGAGAGAGGGAGAGGGAGAGGAAGAGGGAGAGAGAGAGAGAGAGAGGGAGAGGAGAGGGAGAGGGAGAGGGAGAGGGAGAGAGAGAGAGAGAGAGAGAGAGAGAGATCAGACCTTTCCCATCACATGGAACTCAGAAAATTGTATTATCAAGTGTACATAACATTTCATCTACTCATCCATTTATGTCTTGTGCTTTCACACAATGGCAATACCATAAAAACACAACAGCACAATGAAGAAAATCAAGAGATATACCCGTGGACAGCTTGCCCTGTTTTGTTTCTGAAGACGCTGAGGAATCTGAAGACTCAGAGGAAGAGTCACTATCGCTCTCTGAGGTGGCGGTCGAGATGGAGGACAGTGATGCAGCTGATATGACACTCTGCAGTTGCACCTGTAAAGATGGATTAGAATCAGGTCCTTTCACTTCACTTCAATATATGCCTAACCCAGGGCAGATGCTTGGTGAGAGGGAGAGAGGACAGAACAAATGGGACCTTCAGCATAGTTTATAATCAGCCCATTCTCAACGGGTATTTGCAATGTGGTTTTCTTTAGTGAGTTTCATTTACATAGGCGGTTCCATAAGTATTTAGTGCCTAAGGAAACAATCAGCAGGCCTACCTGACCTCACGTGATATCCCTCTTCCTTGAATCAGATCGTTTTCTCATAATATGGTCTAAATATTCCACAAAAATATAATTCATAGACCCATTTTACTAGCGTTTTGAGACTTCGGTCACAGGAACTGACTTTCTATTTCAAATTGTAAAACACTGAGAACATTAAGAGGGAATTAACAACTTTTACCTTTCCCTGAACAGCCTTGCGCACTTTCTCACGCTGCTGTTCCATCCGGTCCTCCTCTCTGGACTTGTAGGAGCGGACAAGCTTGTCACGCAGCATTCGCTCTTGGTCTGCCAGCTTCTCCTGATGTCTGCGTTCCTTCAGCTGGCAAGGTGGGAGTGGAAATGCCTCAGTTATTGCTTAGATCAATTAGTATAATCATTAAATTCAAGACAAACAAAAAAGAATCAAATCCACTGCATGAAGTATAACAAGCTAATGAACAGAGAAAAATGAGAACCACAAACCTCTTTCTCCTTCAACTCCTCCACCTGCTTCTTGTTGTGTTCATCCAAATGCCGGAAGATCTCCTCCTCCCTCTTCTGGGCGATCTCCTTCTGACGACCAACCTAGAACAGACAACCTCACTAACAGATGACCTTCTCCCCATAAAGCTAAACTTGTGCCTGGTGGCTTCTCAACCCAATTTAAATGAAGAATAATTTTTTTTTCCCCGACAAAGGAAGGAACATCTGTAAACTCTCAAGTAACAAGCTCTACTACTATATGTGAATCCTCAGGAGCCAAATCAATGGAACCAGGTTATTGCTCCAAAACCAAACACACCTTAATCCTCTCAAAAAGCTCATCCAGGAGTCGAATGCTCTCCAGTTTGCGCTGGGCGATTAGTAGCTTGCGCTCCTCCAAGGCAATCTTCCTGGCAAGTTTTGCTTCCTCTTCCTCCTCCTGCTTCTTCATCTTCTCTTCAACTTTCATCAACCTTTTCTTCCGTCTCTTTTCCTCTCTCTCCTTCCTTCGATGTTCTTTCTCCTTCTTTTTAGCCTCTTTGCGTTCTTCCTTCATCCTTCTTTCTTCCTCCTGTCTCATCCTAAAACAGAAAATATAACTGTAATTTCTACTTATATTTATTGCATGTACATTGTCTGTACGTCCACAAATGTTTGAACTCATTCCCATCAAATCCATCCTCATACCTTTCAGCTTCCATTTTCATCTCTTCCATCTCTCTCTTTCTTCGCAGCTTCTCCTCAGCTTCACGCTCTACAGCCTGCAGCTTTTCTCGTTCGGCTGAGCGCTTTTTGATTGAGTACTCTGATAGGTGCTTGGTCTTGTCAAAGTCCACCTGGAATTTTTTAATTTTTTTATTAGTTCTCTATCCCCTCCAGTTTAACTAATAACAATTTCTCATCATGCAATTTAGACACTCAAAAGAAAATTAGAAAAATTATTAATACAAATAACCTAAATATTGTGACAGGAGGGAAGCATTCTCCTTCACTAACCAGTAACAAAGCTAAACCCACCTTTACAGTTGCACTCCATGCCTTGTCCCCTTCAAGGAAGACTAGCTTCTTGCCCTGCAACGCATGCATGCACTTGGCAAAGCCTATGTACTCCTTGAACTGCACGTAGGCCTCAAACACCAAGTCCTGCCCGAAGCTGAAGGTCTTGATGCCATTGATTGAGGCCGACATTTTCTTGCGATACGGGTCACAGAGGGGGATGTCCACCGCTCTGATCTCCCCAAAGGAAGCCATCACTTTGCTGAGGACGTAATCGCTGGGCTTGTTGGTGTCGGCATCGTTGATGTGTGCAAACCAGCGGCATGGGAGGTCCTGCAAAAGTAACAAGACATACAGGAGAGGTAAAGTCTATACTCTACAATATGATCTGTATATGCCAAACTAGTAATCTTTACACTGATACCATTATAGCACAGCATTAATCTAAATTTACGTAATAATTTCACCTCTGCAACCAAACCCAAGCCATATAGAAACCATGCTCAAAGGTAAAACATCAAACCAAAGCCTACCTGGAAGTGCACTGTATCTGGTCGCTCTCCCGGCTTCATCTCATTCATGTGCTTCGCGTCCCTGAAGTAGCTGTCCCAGTCGTGGCGTGAGGGGAAGGGGGCCTTGGCCTCCGTCGCCCTGATCTTCAACAGGTCGGAGAACCCACTCAGCTTGATGCCCTGTTGATGCAGTGGAGGAGTTGCAGGGTTGTGTGGCAAGGCTACATGAACGATATAATTATCTATCTATCTCCATTTCTCTCCCTCCCCTACCATCCTTCCCACATCCTTCCTTCCTTCCTACCTGCCATCCTTCCCTCTCTCCCTCCTTTCCTCTATTTGTTCATCCTTCTTTCCATCATTCCACCCATAAATCCCTTTCACCCTCAATCAATCCATCCAATCCTTGGTTCATCTATCTATCCCTCTTCCCTGGGGTGGCAAACCTCTTCTGCAGGCACTGTGCAAGTAAGATCTCAAGTCTGGACAGCAAAAGACTAGGAAAATCAAAACAAATGCAGAAGCCTGATTAATGGTAAGTTATTTTTACATGTTCAAAAATGCTAGATCTGCCTATAAAAATATTGCTACAGGAAGCCGACAGGGGGGAGGTATAAGTAGTATGGCCCATGTGAAAAAATGGTGTATAGTTGGTTTAAAGTTGGTCTTTCCCTCCCTCCCTCCCTCCCTCCCTCACTCACTCTAACCCCTACTATTAATACTGATGCTGATATAATTAACTGACACTTTGATCATTATGTTTTTAGCAATAATAATATCGATCCAAAAAAAATTTATATATATTTCTAAATATAATGGAAAAGGGTAAACAAGTAAGATGGTTAGGACTAGTAATTGACTAAGCACTTGTTTATTAACTGTACACACAATTAATAAATCAAACATAATAGGCATGGCATGCACGTACACCCCCGCAGCAAGAGGTTAAAACATCCAACAATAAATTATCAAAACAGAAATCTCTTTACTCCATGTCATAGAAAACGACAAAGTATAAATCGATTACAAGATAGCACTTACTTTCTGATCAATTTTACTGATGACTTGAGAGAGATTCTTTCGGTTCTCAATTTCTGCATCGAATCTCAGGAACTCGAGTGTACTCTTGGTCACCTTGATAACCGTGAACACTTCCGGCAGAATGGCAGAACGCAGCTTCTCCATGACCTGTTACAAAAGAGTGGAATAAGTGTGAAAATAAAGTATAAACCACAGGCTAAATACATAAAAATACATATATATCAATACATAAATTTCACACATACATTGGTATACACATCTATCTATTTATCTATCTATATATATATAGCATACAGCCTCCAAACTCAGTTTTATTAATCCAATAACCAAACAAACAAAATTACAAATAGGAAGAATAAATCAAACATCAAAAAGTTTCATGCAATATAAGCTTAAAATCATGCATTCTTATCAAATTCTTCAAAACCAGGCATTTTCGCACCCCAACCCCCTCTACCTACCTTATTTTGTACGAACTCAAAGCCAAAAACAAAACGTAAAAGCACCAGCTGGCTCACCTCCCAGTTCGAAATGGACTGCCCTGACTTGAGCTGCGGGAGCGTGACTGTGATGCTGACCCTCGCCTCGGGCTTGAGGTACAGGCCGGACGTGCGGGACAGCTCAACGCAGTCACTTGTGTCCGTGCAAACCTGGACATTCTTCAGCACGTTTTTCTCCATCTTGTCAAAACTGAAAGGAAATAGGCGTAAAAAGGTTTGCCATAAAAAAAGGGGTGAAGGAGAAGAGAAGAGAAGAGTAGAGAGGAGAGGAGAGGAGGTACTGTACCGTAAGTACAGCAGTGGTAGACAGATTAATTTATTTTTCACTCATTCATTATTTCCACATAATGTCTGGTATCCTCTTGTAGGTTTAAGGCCCCCTAATCCTGTATGGCACCCAAAGCAATCCTAATTGATGAAAAAAAAAAAAAAAAAATCAGAGGTATTTTGTGGCAATTTTGTAAAGTAACAAAAAAAAAACAATATTAGTGGAAAAATTAAAGAGAAAGAGGGCTCCAGGTTCCAGGTATTTTACTAATAATTAAAATAATTAGTTTTTACACGAAAATA